TAATTACAGGCAAAACCATTGGCCCTGCAGTGTGATAGTACATTAAAATAACACAGCATTGTCTTTCCACAGTGTTATTAGCAGAAATACTCTGTCATTAGGGAACACATGACTACAAATACATTCCTTCAAAATGTCATCATAGAAATTTCACTTCAGTGTGCTGTGATGACCCATTCTTACAGTCACTTACTGCCAAAGACACCAAGCCACTCACCACAGTTGCAAATCAGTCATAACAAATACATGACTTTGGGAAGGAAGTCACAGGCACTTGCAAATATTTCAATTAGAAAAAAGTGTTTAAACATACTTCTCAAAACTTAATGCTATCGGCTGATTTTTTTTTCACAAATAGTGCACCTACATAAATAATGTACACAGGAAAAAACATAGGAATAGCAAAATTATGTTTAAAATTTCTCGCATAGCCCACCCAAATACTGTCACATCTTGTGACACTTCTGGAAGTTAATTTCAGCCTCGTTCACCTTCATTCAACAGTACAGAAATGCTACTGTTGATTGTGTAATAAAGGTCCACCACACCATGGGTCGAGTTTGGGAGTAGCTCCATAAATGGAAAACAAACCAGTGAAACTGCATTTATTTACATGGATTTGATCATTACATTCCTGTTGCTTTTGAGTTATTAGAAACAGGAGCTGATCACTAAGGAAGCCTGTCCATAAATCATGCACTAGCAACTGGACACTAACAAACTGAAGCCTCTCCTGGCCTAAGTGGTATCAAGTCGCTATCAACAGGAATCTTGATTCAATGTGCACCAGATGGTCATTTTTGTGCCCAGCTTTTCATTAAAGGCATAGGCAAACCTGATACAGGATTGGTCCTGGTGCAACAGCTGAAGTCCAAACCTTGGCAGATCATCTTTTTTTCTTTTTTTTTTACACAGAAATCAGCTACATTTCAATCACATTACAGCATTAATTAACAAGTTTAAAATCTTGATCTTTCAGCAAAGCAGCAATTTGTAGTAGTAGTCCAATCATTATTGCATAAAATGTCCAAAATCTTGATCTTTCAGCAAAGCAACAATCTGTAGTAATAGTCCAGTCACTATTGTATAAAATGTTCAGTTATGATAGAGTTCCAGAGTTTCTCTTAGACGGCATCCGTAATGGAATATCTCAGCAGTTAGCAATCGCCATTCTCAGGAATCTGCGAGGCCTCCTTGATGATGTTTTGGGTAACTTCAATAAGCAGTACAGGGGTCACGTCACAGCATGGGCGTCCCTCCTTTTTTCTGGGCCTTGCTGGCTCAGCCCCGCTTCGTAATCCACATGGAGGGAGTGGGAAGGGAAGGAGGGAAAGGGAACAAGGGAGAGGGGGAAGAGAGTCAGGGAGGTCAGAGTCCGAGAAGTCCCTCCGGCAGATCATCTTAAGTGAAACTCTCAAGCTGTGTTAAATCTGCTTATCTCATAGTCTATGTCTTATTGGTGCCAATGTCTTTATCAGTGCTCATGAATCGGTCATATGCTGTCAAGTATAAAAAGATGCTTCTTGTGCACCTCACGTTTGAATTTTGCACTCTTTCCGAAAACTAGCCAGTTTATTGGTTATATTGTGCACATTTTTTCAGTTTACAAATCTCAATCTTAGAACCCTTTAGGGCCATGCCAGGAATTAATGTAGTCCTACACTACCAACTTGGAATTGAAAGTTGTTGTAAGGACAGAAGGAACTAGAAACAGTGTGACAGGAGAGTTCAAGGTTGGAGAGTCATCCACTCGTTAATGGGGAAATGAGCTGGTAAAAATGCATACCTACTTAGCCGCCCCCACAACTTAACTCAAACATTCTTTTTTCTCAAAGGACTTCAAACATCTGGCTCCTTACATTCTTCTAGGACGATGATGGAATATAGACAGCTGGCAAAACACGTGCCACGTCAGCCTTTCCTCCGTATCACTGACGGTGCTGCTCATGTTGTCTGTTTCTAAATCTTTCTAGCACCCTTAACAGAAGCTCCAAGGAGCCTCGGTGGCATGGTGGTTACGAGTTGGGCTCTACCTTCAAGGTCAGCAGTTCAAAACCATCAGCCGCTCCTCAGGAGAAAGATGAGAGAGTAGAACTGACTCCCAAGGCCCCCAGGCTGACAATCTTTACAGAAGTAGGTGTCGCACTCTTCCCCACGGCCGGTGGACTTGAACTATGGACTTTCCCACTTTTCAGCCCGGCGCTTAACCCGCTGAGCCACCAGGGCTTCTCCACACTGGCCGCACAGGTACCCCGATGAACCTGGAGAGGGTACCTGCCAATGTGCTCATGCATACATGCGCGCGCGCACACACGCACACACAACCAAACCCACTGCCCTCGAGTCGATCCCCACACATGGGCTCTCTCTTGGGTTTCTGAGACGGTAAATCTTTATAGGGGCAGACAGCCTCATCTTTCTCCTAAGGAGGTGGACTGGAACCCCCAACCTTGTGGTTAGTAGCTCAGTGCTTCTTCTACTGTGCCCATACAGCCATACACACATACAGACACATACACTCATATACAGACACACATACAGAGACATACACACCCACACATATACACACACAAACACACCCACACACCCCCAAACACCCACACACCCCCGACACACACATACAGGCACACACTCACACATACATAGACACACACCCATACACACATACAGACACACATAGGCACACCTATACACACATACACACACACCCATACACAGATACACATACACATGTTCACACCCACCCACACACAGACAGGCACACCCATACACACCCATACGCACACGTTCAGTCTGCTCTCTAACCCTGGAGCTGTGCTGGAATCTAAACCAGGCAGAGCTGGTTTAGCTCTGTCAGCACCCTCCCCCAGGTCCATCGGGGCACCTGTGCATCCTCAAGGCTCCACAGGCCTCCCACCTGGACCCGGTTTCTCCTGATCCCACCCTATCCTACACGCCCCCTTCCCCGGCTGCGATCAGTAGTAGGAGCCCCCCTCATTTTACTGCTGCTCTGAGCAAGGGGGCGCTTAGTGCCTGGGAAGCAGGTGGAAGCCTGAGCTTTCTTTCCGTTTCTCCCCAAACACCCCCAATGACTTCGAACCACAACTGGCCTCCTCCCCAGCCCCGAGGCTCATCGTCGACCTGCAGATTCTGGGGAAGCACAGAGAAGACCCTGGTCTTGGGCAGGCAGCCCGCCTTTGGGGCTTCATTATGCCGGAGGAGTCCTGACCTTGGGTGTGACATGAGCATTTTTCTTCCTCCGTCCCGTCTGGCCTTGGAGCCTCCGGTGGTTTCAAACTAAGGACCTTGTGGTTAGCAACCCAACGCCTAACCACCACGCCACCAGAGCTCCCCTTGGCTTGTGCATCGTAGGTACTTAAAGATAATCCAGCCTGGTGTCAGTTCTGCTCTGTGGAACGTTGGGGAGAGCAGAGGAAAGATTTGAGCCGTGGCATCCTGTGACCTCACTTCCTGTTTTGCTGCCCCATTGATCTCACTTTTGATTACTCTGCCCTGGTGACCTCACGTCCGGTTACTCTCCAGGTGCTTGGCACACTTATCCAAATCATCCAGGTTGGTCTCATTCTTTTCCAGAGCACTCTGGTGAGGGGGCAGGGGAGGAGCTGAGGGAAGACATGAGCTGGGGCATTATGGGGAACTAAGTCCGTGAGGCCAACATGGTGGCAGCTGAGGGTGAATTGGAGAGAGCCCCACCCCCCACCCCAGGACTGCAGCAAAGGCAGTTAAAACCCTCGTCCTCCCCCGCACCCCCATGAAGATTCTCTCTGTGGCCAGTCTCCAAATATTGGGCCTTAGTTTTATTCATTAAACACGCAGAAAGAGAAAAAAAAAATGCATACCTCCTGGGAACAAAGCACAAAAGTTTGAGTTGGAGAACAACTTAGAAGAGTGAACTATTTCTCAAGGGTACAAAATCAAACTGTCTCTACTACCTGATTCAGGACAAAGGGGAGCTTCTCACAAATGACAGAGCAATCTCAGTTTGTAAGGCAGTTTCAATTGGATTTCCAAACCCACGGAAAGACCTTTCCATGACAATGAGCATCACCATAGCCAGCGATGTCCAGATGACACAAGGTAGGAAGATAATGGTTATACTGAACTACTCTTTTAAGATGAAACTACAATTTTTCCTGGTGACCTTTACTTATTCATTTCAAAGACAATGACTGCCAAAACATGGTTTCAGTTGAAGATTTATGAAAGCAGTAATATATAAATCACATCTTGTTCTTGTAGTTTTATGCCTAGGGAATTTCTCCCTAATTTCTGGCACTTCATACATTCACCCTCCCTGGTGTCAACATGGCGTCTCTTGACCATCACCAGCTCATGCACTTCATCACTGGTTGCCTGTTGGTTTAGGAAAACACCTACCTTAAATGTTTCTGTATCAGTTTTATCCCTACCCACTGTCACCTGCCACCAAGCTGATTCTGGTTCACGTTGTTGTCGTCAGGTGCCATGAGGTCGGTTCCAACTCATGATGACTCCAGGGTTTTCAAGATTATACAGGAGGCGACTTGGTGGTGTAGTGGTTACACCCTGGGCTGCTAACCACAAGGTCAGCAGTTAGAGCTACAATGGAAGAAAGATGCGGCGTGCTGTTCCCATAGAGAGTTAGTCTTGGAAAGCTATAAGGGCAGGTCTACTATGTCCTATCAGGCTGATGCGAATTAGAATCCACTCCAAGGCAGTGATAGAGAGGCTGTAAATTGTTATGGGAGCAGAAAGCCCTATCTTTCTCCTGAGGGGTAGTAGTGAATTGAACCACTGACCTTGTGGGTATCAGTCCAATGATTACCTGACAACATCAAATCCATGGGTCAGGGGGAAGAATTGGAAAAGGTAGCCAGAAACACATACAAAAGTGTAAGTATAATATGCTTATGAACGTAGCATGAGGGTTGCACGGATGGCCATACCGTGTGCACACTATTTGCAAAAAAGATGGTATACATCAAATCAAAACAATTTAATCAGGCTTCCTAGTTTTATTTTTTTAACATGTTCCATTCTCCAGAGCATAAATATTACGTTTATAAAATAAACTTAAAATTTCAATACATTAAATACAAAACACAATTCAATTAAAACAATGCATTTGGTCTCATGAGTACATTTATGAAACACAATAACAAAATATTAACAGCTTCAAATAAGTGAGCATCCCTATGCAAAGGCTTGCCCAATAAGTGATATTTTAAACAGCTGAAGAAAAAAACACAGGAAATGTCAATTAGTGTTATTCTTCCAGTAGTACTGCAGGAGATATAGAGCAAAGTTTCAAATTCTAGTAGTGATATTAAAATTAAATTACTTTGTAATCTGGAACTGAAAATAGCGCTCAGTTTTAAAGTCCTTAAGTTGTTAGAAAATGTTGTCTTTCCCGTTGGCAATGAGAAACAAAACACGTCAAGAGTGCACATCACAAGTAATAGGAAACAGGCATCCCACAGCATCGCACGGGCTTCAAAAATCCGGGATTTTGTTGGTTAGTACTCAAGGATCATAAATTCATCTTTCTGGCTCAATGACAAGTGTACAAAACTATGATTCTTTCTGAAGAATCATATATAAAGTTCAAGAGCAAAGGTGTTCAACAAAACAACTGTGCACTTGTTTCTTGAAAACATAAAAGAAACAGATCTTTAGCCTATTAAGTGAAAATCTACTTTCAAAGTCTCCTCCTTGTCTTCATCTGCCTTTTCAGCTGAAAGGGTGTAGCACGATAGCCACAACTTTGTTACAGACCAAAATCCAACAAGTAATCCCAACACCACCTAAAAGAAAGACATTCAGTGTTAGGAGAAGCAGCCAATGTTCTGCCCACATCTCCTGACTCTGTTACCTTTCAATTACAGGAAGAGAGACTATTTCCATTCCTCCTGAGCTCCCGCTATGAAAGACTAAGTGTATAGTCTTGTGTAGGCTCAGAGTCATCAGGCTTTCTCATGACTCCCAGGACTGGGTTCTGATGAAGCAGGAGTCACATCGGACAACTATTTCTTTCCTATCAAACAGATGTGCACCACTGTTTTTTATATCAGTGAATTTAAGACTTAGAGCAGGGACTACTTGTTTCCCTTTCTCCACAGACATTACAAAGAGCCGCCAGAACAGTAGGTCGCTCCTGGACCCCTTCCTATACTAGAGCTTACAGAACCTCCTGGTTGCTGGGTGCCATCAAGGCGTTTCCAACCCATAGCAACCCTCTCTGTGGACGGCAGAACAAAACCGCCTGGTCCAGCACCATCCTCGCAATTGTTCTGTTTCTCATCAACTTATCGGCTTATTGTCAGTGCTTACTATCAATTTCAATGATAGAATAATACATGACATAGTGATAAAGTGCTTAACGATAGTGTTTCTTAGAGTAAATGAATATTAATAACAAAATAGTTTGTCTTTTTTTTTCTATATTGATTGACCTTGTTACAGGTATCCCCTGCTTTTCAAAAGTTCACTTTAGGCCACTTTGCTTTTACAACAAAAGGCCTATGTTAGGCACCTCTCTTCACTAATCAAAAGAAATCCAAAGAACATTCATTCCCTGTCTCCCCTTACCAAAGAAACCCATGAAAAGTAAAACGAGCATTTAGCACATTTTGCAACAATCTGTTAAAGGGGCAGCGCGCACACACAACCCTCCCATCGTAACTTTGAATTGTGTCTGTCAACACTAGACAGGAGAGTTAGTTTAACTCTTGTGTGTTGTTTCGCATGATTTGGCAGATGATTGTGGGGGTCTGGAAATGCTCCAAAATGTGTCTTATATAAATTAATAGTAACTGCTGCTTCACTTTACCCCGTTTCAGCTTACAGAAGGCTTCACCGGGGCCCTCCACTTACAATAGAGGGGGAAACTGAATTAGTAACAGAGCAGAGCCTTTTTTAATGTTTCTCCTTTTCCTGTAGTTACTACTTCCTCCCTTAAAAAGGTATTGATATAGGTTCACAGCTACTACTTGATGTAGCTAAACCACCAGAAAATATGACAAAATCAGTGACTATAAAAATAGCCAGAAAAAAAATAAATACTGGCAGCAGCAACAACAACGTGTGGCTTGTAGCCCATGTCAGTGACACTACATGTCACAGCTCCATGCTGCGATTGGGTGAGACTGACAGCTCCAACCGAGCACATAAGAAAGTTCAAAAAGAAATCCAGCCAAGAGTTTCTACCTTGTAAGTATTTTGATACATGTAAGTTGGACTTTAAGAAAGATATTTTTTGTAATAGCTAGCAACAGGGATATTTTATATATCCCTGCTGAAACATTATATAAACCTTTAGAGGCTATCATTTTGATGGCATCTCCTCTGACAGTGTCAGAGGGTGCTCCGCGCCCCCTAGTGACACCACTGATAAAAGCAGCAACACTACCCACTTTGTCCCACTGGCCACTGAGCCCTGAATGGCAGTGTACAAAAGGAGAGCCTGCCAGAGTAGCAAGGGGAGCCCTGTGGCCTCTGCAGGGATATCCAGCCATCAGGGTCCCATAGCAAAGGTGCTGGCCTGGGTCTAACTGAGCCAAGCGAACGCTAAGAAAAAGGACAGGCAATGGCTACACTGGACGTCTCTGAAATAGTCATTCCCTTTGACTTAGTAATTCACTTATACAGCACTCACACATCTTAACTGACAGGGACATGTGCTACAGCTTTAGTCTTAAATAACAAATCAGAGCCTAACTATATAAATACCCTGTAACAGGGCAATTAGTAAATAATAAGATACCTGATTGAAGACTAACCATTCAACAACGCTTACAAAAAGCTTATTGATAATGGGCAATGGCTTACAGTAAAAAGCGAAAGCAATACAAAATGTACTAGATGACCGAGTAGTAAAAAAGAAAAAAGAACTGGAAATATACCACAATGTAAGGAGTTCATGAAATTTATATTTCATTATATTCATAGATAATGAAATTGTTCTTTAAAATTACTCTATTTTTTAATCTCTCTACAATGGTACATACTACTTTTAACATTAAAAAAAAAGTATCTTTCAAAACATCAGAAGCGCCACTGCTATGCAGAGGTGAGGCCTGATAAGGATGGCGAGAGGGCACAGGGTGTGGGAAAGAGAGCGAGGGTTTCAGTGAAGGGGCATGTGCTGGGCATGGATTCTGGAAGCAGAGCTGGGTTTGAGTTTTAGTTCTGATGCAGTATATTTCTGACACTGGACAAGTAATTTCTCTAATCTCGGGTTTTCACTTCCAGACTTGTGCAAGGCTGAGTCACAAAGCACCTGCTCACTACACGGGTAAGGATATTATCATTCTTCCCTAATAGTGGCCTCACCACCCACCACTTCATGAGCCTATCCAGTTTCCCAGTACCTGCTCTGGAAAACTCTTACCTGCTACTCTCGTGGGAAAGGCTACGAGGCGATCTAGTGGGGTTATCCACTTATTCGGCACCACAGCCACAGGCACGGAGTAATACTTCCAGATGAGTGAGACCATCAGTGCAGCCTGGAAAGAGACTGTGCTGAGGACCACCGCCAGTCAGGCCGTGGCTAACTGCAGGCAGGTGGGCAAAGGTACAACGAATTACAGAAACTCAAGAGGGATGACCTCAAGCCCTGCCAATCAGCTGACGTGCCAGGAGACATACAAGGCAGATTTTCCACACACTTTTTGAAGCCCTCTCAAATATGCACAGTCACTAATTTCCATTGCTGATGCCTTGAAATATGATAGCTAAGTTCACAGAATGGCTAGAACACACCCTCTGGGTGTTCTAGTGAACTAGTCTTTCCTGTAGAACACACACTAGATGTTCTGCTCAACTAGTCTCATTCTAGAACACACTCTACATCAGCGGTTCTCAACCTGTGGGTCGTGACCCCTTTGGGTGTCAAACAACCTTTTCACAGGGGTTGCCCGATTCATAACAGCAGCAAAATTACAGTGATGAAATAGCAACGAAAATAATGTTACGGTTGGGGGTCACCACAACATTTGGAACTGTATGAAAGGGTCGCAGCATTAAGCTTTTACCAGCAAAACTCTTACAGGTGTCCCCAGCCCCCTTGCAGCCTTGAGTCTTATCTCCCAACTCAGCCGGCCTCAAAGAGGACATCTAGTCTAATTCTAGTGTCTCAGAGAAACCTTTTATCCACATGGAAGTGCCTCAGAGCTAGTTTCTTAAAAAGCTGCAACCACCCATGCTTTTTGGAGCAGTGTTTGAATTCTGTACCACAGTGAACAGTTGGTCACATGCAGTACTGAAACTCAGAGGTCACTGAACACCCGTAAGCAGCCTACACTGAAGTGTAACCACAGGATAATATTTCAGCAGAAGTGGGAATGGTCCCATGCGAACCAATTCAAAATCTCCCAGATGAAGACGTTGCCGATTGATACCATTGGATCTTAATGGAAATGACGCATTCCCTTTCTGGAGGGTAGACAGTCATTTACCTGCTTGCTGTTTCAGCATGCAGCTTAGGAAGCAGTGGCCAGTGATCAGCCATCTTGGAAACCCTAAGGTTGAAATCAGCTTCTCTCACTTCATGACCTAAGTCCTCAGCAGAATACAGGCAAGACGCAAGGTCTCCCCCAAAGTCACTTCCGAGCTCCTCTGCTACAATAACCCAGTCTAAAGAAAGTCTCCCTTCTCTTCTCTGTCTTCGAAGTTCCGAGTGCTCGGGGTCCTGTGGGAGAAGCCCACACGCCACTGCAGTGACAGTGGAAGCCTGCGCCCCCGCCTTGGACTTTGCAGGGCAGGCCAGCACCGAAGAGGGCCCCCCGCCCCCCACGACACCGCAGTCCACTTACTTGCAATATGTAGAATGCGACACTTATGACCCACTTTATTTTGGCTAGCTGAGCCGTTCGCGCTTTCACTAAAAGGAAAAACAGGATGAAATCATTGTTATTCAGGAAAAATAATTACTAAGTACACAGAAATGTTATTTGCCCTTATCAAATATGTTGATTATACATGTAGCACTTGCTCAATATATTTAGGAAATAGACTAGCGTAGAATCACACTCATCTTATGCACTCTGAATAGCTTTCATTGGAAACGTTTAAATTCTGCCTCTAAATCAGAGGTTACTTTGACAATGCACTTGCCCCTTACTAACAGAGCTTATCTTTTCTTGACTGTTTTCCCCAATTCCCCTTGGGCACTACCTGGTGGAAGGGCAGCTGGGCCAATGCTGGGCAGGGACTCTGTGTCACTAGACAGGGTGTAGTTCTCCCTGTGGAGTCACCATAGGGTCTCCAGCACATAGCTGCGGCTCTGCTAAAATGGTCTTCACCAAAGGAGATCAGGTACAATGGAAAATATAAAGATCTGCTCGCTACCTGGACAGCTAGGCTCAGATAAGCAAGTGGCTCCTATAAGAAGACTGCTGGGCACCTTCTAAAATGGAACAAACATCCCCCGAGATCGAGATCCACTGGGAGATTCATTTTAATCATCTTACTGGGGGTCCTTATAGCTCTTATAACATTCTATACATCAATTGTATCAAGCATATTTGTACATATATTGCCATCATTTTCTAAACATTTACTTTCTATTTGAGCCCTTGATAACAGATCTCTTTTTCCGTCCCTCCCCCCTGGTGAACCCTTCACCAACTGCTATCTCCAATCACCCACATTTCTGTTGTTCATCCCCTGGGGGAGAGGGGAGTGTTATGTGTAAATCATTGCGATCAGTTCCCCCTTCCTCTCCTCTTCCCCCTACCCTCCTGGTATCATTACTCCCATTTCTGTTCCTGAGGGGTTTGTCTGACCTGGATTCCATGTGTGGAGAGCTCTTATCTGCACCAGTGTATATGCTCTGGTCTAACCAGACTGAAAGGCAGGGCTGGGGTCATGATAGTGGGGGTGAGGAAGCCTCCAAGAACCAGAGGAATATTGTGTGTTTCATCAGTGCTATACTGTGCCCTGGTTGACTCATCCCTTCCTTATGACCCTTCTTGTAAGGGATATCCTATTGTCTACAGATGGGTTTGGGGGTCTCTGCTCCAACTCTTCTCGTTCTCACCAATATGTTTTTCTATTTGTTTAGGATCTTCTTGGGCCTGTTACCTGATTCTGTTGATACCTCATGATAACATAGCCTGGTGTGCTTCATCCATGTGGGCTTATTACTTCTCTGCTAGATGGCCACTTGTTTAACTTCAAGCCGTTAAGACCCCAGACACTATACCTTTTGATAGCCGGGCACCATCAGCTTTCTTCACCACATTTGCTTATGCACCCATTTTGTCTTCAGCAATCGTGTTGGAATGCCAAGTTGTTAGAACAATGTGTTCTTGTGTTGAGGGAGGGCTTGAGCAGAGGCCCGAAATCTGTCCACTTCGTTAATGGAAATTCTTATTTTTGAGGGGGGGAGGGGGTGGATATGCTCTCAGAAAAGTGTAGAATTTGAAAGAAGTCAGCTTTCAAGAACATGTGAGGGGATTTGGATGTTTGTTTAGAAAGCAAAGGCTCACCAGCAAATATGGATTATGTAGTGAGCGTTTCTGGATTTCCTTGCGGAAAAGGTAAATATTTCTGTCAATATTTAGAGCATCTAAAGCACAAAGCTTCTGTCCTAAAAGCTTCATGCAAACACTTCAGGCAACTCCCTGGGAGTTTTTAGCACAAGGATCACCAGTACCGTGGGTTTTTAGCTTATCAGTCATCTTGTTGATCTTTCTTTCCAATCTGGCATATCTGGCAAACTCATCCATCATGTTGACAGTGGAGAGCTCTTGCTTCATATCCTGGATCTCGGCTCTCATCTGGAACTCCTGCTCCGCATCCTTCTGCAGCACCCTGGACATCTGGCAGAGTGAACAGCTGCAGTCAGCACCTCTCCATATGGAAGTCACATCCCTCCCCCCTCCACCACCAACCTGTCTTCGGCCCCTTTCCATTAGACAAGGCACCCTTCCCACTACAGCCCTGGTTGCCTCTGTCCTGCTCCCTGCACCAGCCACAAAAGCAAAGACTCCTCGATGCTGAATCACGACTCCAACCCTATCTGTTCCCTTCTGTAGATGTGCTTGCTCATGGATTGCTACAATACACAGGAATACATCTTTTAGTATAAGCATATAATTAGTTCCTTCCCCATAATCACCATGTAAGAGACAAATACTCTTGTCCCCCTTTACTTCCTGAAGAATTCACCCCACCACCCGCAGCCCCTCTCACGCCTATCTGTGCATATTGGCCTGTACAATCTGTAGGCATCGCTACCAGCCGCCAGGTGGCGCGCGAACGCAGGCTGAGTCCAATCCTCAAATCCAGACGGGTGCAAGGGAGACCACGCTTCTCGTCCAGTGACCGCGTCATTCCAAAGATCAAGTGGTGGTCGTCTGATCCAGCCACCGAGCAAGCCAGGGACGGAGGACAAAGGGAGGAGCTGGAGAGGCTTCTCCAGCAACCTGCCCCGGTGAACACTGATCATCACCGAAGTCCCATCCCACCGGAAGAGAAGGCATCACCTGTGACACAACCAGCCAGACGCCAGGCAGAGGGCGTCCTGGTGGCGTTAATGTACTGGATAGTTGGCAATCAATGTGGACTCATTGCAACAAACTCCACCGTATTCAGGCTAAAGCAGCTCGGGTCAACAGCTTACTCTAAAATGGTTCCGGGAGTAAATCAAGTTCTTTGTACTGCACGTATAATTTTTCTACAAATGATGTTTTAAAACACAACTTACTATTGACAGGGGATAGTGCACATAAAATGCACCTGGCATACTAGGGTACACTACATAAGTCTGTCTTCCAGCGCACAGATATGCGAGATACAACACTCCGGTCTTTTGCCGCACGCCGAGGGAATCCTCCTCTGCTTAGTGAACAGCAAAGAAACTCGAGGACACAGCAGGGACAGCCTGCCCCGGCGCCTGGGCTGCGCAAGCGCAACTTCTGAGACGTACACCAAGGCAACCCGTAACCCGCGGTGCCTGCGCAATGAGGCCCCTCCCGTGAGCAGACAGCTGGATGTGCGCCTGCGCAGAGTTTTTGCCATAGTAGGGACCTTTGGCGGCTCCCCTGCACAGGCTTGAACATACCCAAACATTGTTACTAAAATACATAAATTCCAATCTGATCCACCTTGAAGAAGAAAACAAGAAATGCCAAAATCTCCTTTAAAAAAATCATAGGACCACCTTTCAAAAGCAGATCAGCTTAATCTTTATAAATCCAAAAGGATAGCTGGGGGGGGGGGGTTGAGGTGAAGGAAATACTCTATCCTTGAATTGTGGAGGATGTCTTCCAGACTTATCAAAGGGCGCTCTTGAAAACGGTGAACTTCATTGTCAGCCAAGTGCACCCAATAAATCTGACTTCTTAAACTAGATTAAGAAAACAATCGAGGTATAAACATTGATCTACAAGAAGCGATTAAAAACCAAAAAAGTAAAAAATTGTTTCTCAGGAGTGGAAGGGGAGTGAGAGCAGGCGAGGGAACTTGAGAGTAGAAGTGAAGACAGTTTCAGGGTTAAATCACACAGCTGCAGTACTTCCAAAAAAATGAATATATTAAATTTCTAAACACAGTAACAATGCTTGAAAGGGATTAAATTCACAAATACGTACTAACATTAATTCAAATCAAAGCTGACGAGTGGACGGGAAGTCCATTCTGGCCATGCCCGCAGACCCATGGGTTCAGGGCAGCGCTGAGGGACACAGGGCTTTCCTGACTGTTGGCTTCCCAGCAGCAGAACTCCACGCCCTTCATGGCACCACCAGGTGGGCTGGAAGTGCCAACCTTTAAGCTGGCAGTTGAGTGCAAACATTAATCCAAGACCCCATTATAGGTGTAAAATATGCTTACATAATTAAAATTTAATTAAATTCTATTTTAAGTGAAAATGAATCAAATATTAATTCTTAAAATGAAGTTTCTGCATTCTTTTTAGGTACTCAAAAGTTACCTTTAGGGCATTAAAAATCACACTTGGCAGAAACAAGAACCCTGGCGTCCCTGCTACCGATGGTCAAATCTGCACCCCCACCATCAATGACCAAACATTGGGAACAACTCTCGGAAACCAATCCCGCTGAAAAATAATTGGTGGGATGAGAATTTACGGCCCGTGCTCACAATCAAGAATGGCGCTCCTTCCGTGGGCATCCCTCCCTTCCAGAAAGGGGCCAACATGCACCCCACCCTCACCCCGTGAACTCCGGAAATAGATACGCCCCCAATGCAACCAGGTCTCAAGCTCTCACACTAGGCTACCCGATCCAACTGGAGCTCCCAGTCAGGGCCGGCTAGCCTCCTCCAGAATAGCTCCCCTGCACTTGAGCTGGAACCCAAGTCTAAAAGACAGCCAGTGCCAAACCCACTGTCCACAAAAGGGGGCCAAGCAGCGGAGGGCTAGCGCCTGCGCCTTGCATACAGCACGCCTGGACTCCAGCCTCCCCCTCTCCGACTAGACTAGTACTAGTGCGCCTGCGCACTGCACACAAACCAGGATTCGGGAAGCCTTTTCTTTGTCGCACCCCCGCCCACCGCCCCGGCAGAAGGAAGCTTAGGATCTCCTACTACTTAATGAGCGAGGCTCTCGGGTCCAAATGTTCCGTAATCAGCTTGGAGAGACAAAGGGGGGTACTCTCAACGAAAGGCCAACCAAGTCAGCACCAAGGGCCAACCGTCTTGAAGCGGACGTCCAATGCCACCCAGCAGGCTGTCGAGATCCCCCTCCTGGGCACTGCAAGGGTTGACCCTTGGGCAAGAGGGCTTCTCAACTTCAGAGACTAGAATCACTGATTGGATGGGTACGTACCTACACTTCAGGCTTGATTACAGAAGCTTCAGAAACGATGAGATTAGTGTACTGGGCTGGCTAGTGTCTCCCCAAAATTCATCCCCACTTGGAACCTCAGATTGTGATTTTACTGGAAATAGAGTCTTTGTGGATTAATTCAATAAGGATGAGCTCATACTGGATTGGAAAGTCAAAAAACTATACCCAGTACCTTAGAATTAATTTCAACTTAGTCCCTAATCCAATGAATTCCTAGGTGGTGCCAGTGTTTAAATTTGCTCAAAAAGTTGGAGATTTGTCTCTCCAGAGGTCACTTGGGGGAAAGACCGGTGGATCTACTAAAACAGTGGTTCTCAACCTGGGGGTCAAACAACCCTTTCACAGGGGTCGCCCGATTCATAAAAATAGCAAAATTACAGTGATGAAGTAGCAACGAAAATAATGTTATGGTTGGGGTCACCACAACATGAGGAACTGTATGAAAGGGTCCTGGCCAATAGGAAGGTTGAGAACCACTGTACTAAGACATTCACTGAAAGTCCTCTGGAACACGCTGCTACTCTGACACACTTGGGGACACCACAAGTCTCAGTTACTTCAAAGGCACAGAGAGACACACACGGGGG